TCCCTGTGCTTTGCTAAGCTTGTTCTAAGTAGGTGCTTTAGACCACTGAGCCATCTCACCAGCCAAAATTCATCTTGTTCTTTTTTTTTTTTTTTTTTTTGGCGGAACCAGGGATTGAACTCAGGCCCTTGCACTTGCCAGGGAAGCGCTTATTCCACTGAGCCATCTCCCTGGCTCTCCTCTATTCATTTTTAAGTGGAGATGTTATACTACTGAGAACTTAATTCCCCTACCTAGATAGGATTTGTAATTTGCGTCCTATGATGTAGAACAAACCCTAAAAACAGGTCAATAAATAAGGAAGTGATTATGTCTTTGTATAATTTGGGATAATATATGAGAACAGTAGTTGAGGGGTCCCTTTATTTTATTCTTTCTTATTTCTGTCCTTATTTAGAGATATCCTCAGTTTGTGTTAGCAACAATGATTCCATTGTAGTTGCACTTGTCACTCATGGTGCAGTGTCTGATGTGACAGCATTCGCATTTTTCCTTGGAAAAGGATTTCCAGGGCATCCAGTGAAGCTCCTGACAGCAGGGGTCTGTTGAAGGTGGTATGGGAGGAAAAGAAGAGAGAGGAGAGTCCGCTGTCCTGGAGGAGTCAGCACCATGCCCTTGCTTTGCTGGGACCAGGAGGGGGATGCCTGGGCTGAGGACTTATTTTTCAAGTGTTTAAAAAAATAAGCAAAAATGAAACATTAAGGGCCGGCCAGATAGCTCAGTGGATTAAAGTGCCTACAAGCAGGCGCAGGGGCCAGGGATTCAATCCCCAGGCCTGCTGTGCCGGCTCTGCCCCTAGGGCGCCCTGAGACTGCAATTGAGACTGGGCTTGAGACTGGGCATGGTGGTGTGCGCCTGTAATCCCAGCTCTTGGGAGGCTGTAAACAGGTAGATCACCACAAGTCTAATCTAGTAGTGATACCCAGAACACCCTATAGACCCTTTCCTAAAAAAAAAAAAAAAAAAAAAAAAAAAAAAAAAGAAAAAGAAAAGAAACATTGGCATAACCATACTATTAATTACAGTGTAGAAGAAAAGCTTTACCCACGGTCTTTAAAATGACCATAGCATGAGCATCACTTTTGCAATTTTTTCCGATGGCCCCATTTTCTCACAGTGCGCATGTGCAGAGCACTTGTGCAGGGCTCCCTGCCTCCCGGGTAGAACAGACCTTTTCCTGCTTTGCACTGACTTTCAGGCCCAGCAGAGCCTGAGATAACATTTCTTGAGAGAAACTAGCCCTGCTCTTTTCTCACACATCCCACGTTCCCATCTTTAGCACTGTTGAATCTGGGCCTGAGAAAGCCAAGCACTTGCTGGTGGCTGCAGTTTTCTTTACAAGGTACATGGTGTACTTGGGTGATGGATAAGCGTAGGTCACGTTGTGTGGCTCTAAAAGATTAGGAGCTGTTCACAAGGTCGGATTGGTACTTGTCTATCATACATTGTTCATTGTTGCCATTCTAGTGATAGTTCTTGGAGTCTTTATCTCCAACATAATGTGTACTTGTTTCCTTTTGAGTACTGGAATTGTGCTTGTATTGGGGTATATGAGTTGGAAGAATCCTGGAAGGTGCTTTACTCCCCGTTTTAAGTACCTGTTGCTGATTTGTTTTGTTCGCTGTTTGGATAATGAGAACATTACCTTTCTACAGAAGAGAAGGCCAATTTGGAGAATAAGTTTCCTGGGAAAAATGGGACAGGAGAGCTTTTTCAGAGCAAAACTTCCCTGAGAAAAGCAAATCTTCAGCAAGCTAGTCTCACACCTTTGCAACCAGGTAAGAAACAAAATTGTAGAAAAAAGCTCCTTGACAGAAAGGTGGAACAGAAAATATATTAGGAGCCTGAGGAGCTGAGCTGAGGAAATCACCTTAATGCTGTATCTCTTGATAAAAGTGGGCCAAGCCATTTTATAGTGAATATAAAGATAACCATGTGCAATGGGTTTTTAAACATATCTATTGAAACTTAAGCTGTATTTTATTGCTAAGTACATAACTGGCCTTTTTAAAGTACTGGGGATTAACCCAGAGTCTTTACACTGAAGTACATCCAGCCCTTTAAATTTTTTTATTTTGAGATTATCATTAATTTGCTAAATTGCTGGGGCTGGAGTGGAACTTAAAATCCTCCTGCTTTAGTCTCTCAGAGTGCTGAGGTCACAGGTTTACTCTACCATGCCTGGCTCGTAACTGTTGTATTTTCGTGTGAAGGCTAACTGTAACTGAATCTGGGTCTGACTGGGAAACAGTATAATAGAGAAATCTGCTGCTTGCCACCATACAAGAAAGAATTCTGATTAAAAAACCAGATGTGGGGGCACATGCCTGTAATCCCAGCACTTGGGAGACTGGGGTAGGAGAATCGACAGGAGTTTGAGGTCAGCCTGAACTATATAGTGAGACTTTCTCTCAAAATAAAAACACAAAACTTCTAGTTTTAAAAGATAACTGACATTTTACACTAGTGGCTACTAAATCTGTAGAATATTGTCTGTTTGATCAGAGCATGAAAAGCATGTTTTATGATGTTGTAAGCCTTCTTAAAAATGGTTCTTTTAGGAGCTGGGGAGATAGCTCAGGCAAGTGCAAGGGCCTGAGTTCAATCCCCGGCTCAGGAAAAAAAAAAAAAAAAGGTTCTTTTAAAACAGAAATCAGTACTACTGCATGTAACATCTAAGTCACATATTGTATAATTCACTTATGGATGCTTTTCAGCGTTTTTTATGTATTTACAAAGTTAGACAGTTGTCACCATAAATATTTGAAAATGCAGCTTTTATCCATGTGTGCAGTACATAATGACCACATTCATTGCGGGGAGTTGGTACATGGATGTAATCAGTTTTAATTCTTTTTTCCATCCTGTCACTCCTTTCCTTCTCATCCTCTGTCTCTTAGTCCCCTGTTGCAAAAGATCTGTCTCCCTGTTTCTTACTGTGGCTTTAGTTTAGTCTTTATATTTTGGGTTTCTCACAAAAGAACTCATGTGACATTTCAGCTTATTTGTCTAATTTATTTCACTTAACATGGTCTCAAGGTGCATCCATTTTCCTACAAATGACTAAAGTTTATCTTTCTTTTTTTTGTTTTTCCATTTTGTGTTTGGTACAGGGTCTTACTATGCAGCTCAGACTCCTAGTGATCCTCCTGTTTTCAGCCTCCCCACCACTGAGATTGCAGGTGTGGGCCACCACACCTGGACTTGTGGGCTCGCTGCACCCCAGCCTTCTTGATGGCAGACTAGTACCTCATCATGTATGAATACATTTCTTTATACATTCATCTGTTGATGGACGTACAGGCTATTGCCAACATTCAGCTCTTGCTTTCTCTCTTTCTCTTTCCCTCTCCCTCTCCTTCTCTCCTTCTCTCCTTCTCTCCTTCTCTCCTTCTCTCCTTCTCTCCTTCTCTCCTTCTCTCCTTCTCTCCCTCTTTCCCTCTCTCCCTCTCTCCCTCTCTCCCTCTCTCTGTCTTTCCCCCTTCCCTTCCCTCCCTCCCTTCCTCTCACTCCTTTTGAGACAGTCTTGCTGTGTAGTTCAGGCTGGCCTTGTTCAGTTTCCAGTACTGGGGATCAAATTTGGGACCTTGAACTTGCCAGGCAGGCGCTCCTTGTTCACTTTGTAGTCTAGGCTCTTCTTAAACTTGAAGTGATCCTCTTGCCTCAGCCTCCCAAGTACAAGTGCTGGGATCATAGGCGTGCACCACTGTGCCTCGCTATCCAAGATTTAACTTTTATGAGTTGTGCTGCTATAAACAAGGGTATGGGGCTGGTGAGATGGCTCAGTGGTCTAAAGCACCTACTTAGAACAAGCAAAGCTAAGCAAAGCACAGGGACCGCGGTTCAATCTCCCAGCACCACATGCCAGCCAGCCCCGCCCCCTGGTGGGCTGAGCTGGCCACACACAAATAAATAAATAAATAAATAAATAAATAAATAAAATCTTTTAAAAAAACAAGGGTATGCATGCATCTATCAGTCATCTATGATGTTTCTGTTTAGAAGTAGGACCTCACTAGGTTGCTAGATTTCCCAGGCTTAGTCCAAAATGGGCTACGTAGTAAGTTCCAGGCCAGCCTGAACTGTATATATAGTGAGACCCTGTTACACACACACACACACACACACCCTGTTTTCCCAGTCTGGGTTTGAACTTGAGATCTCTGTGTTCTCCATTCCACAGTGCTGGAACCGGTTGGGATTATATCACTATGCTCTTTTTGTTCTTGAATTGAAAAGGCATGTCATGTTGCTTAGTCTTACCTCTTTTACTGTAATTGTGTTTGAGCCAGTGATTTGTATCATTAAATAGAATAGTACATGGTAGCTCCAAATAAAAGTTTTTCTCGGCAAAGATGATGCATGCACTTTATATGCATGCCTCTTAGGTCTCTCAGACTCTTTGTATTCTTTCTCATTAGCTGTACTTTTTCCCTTCTGTATTAAAATTGTTGACTCTGCCTAGCATTCCCTTCTGACTGACAAATGCCTACTCATCTTCAAGGTCAGCTCAAAACCTTTTTTTAGTAACTGATACTGTCCATCTGTCTTTTTCTTTATGGTACTGATAAAACACAAGGCCTTTGTATTCAGCTATATCCTGAGCTCTTTTTTAGATTTTTATTTTGAGGTAGTATCTTGCTAATCACTAAGTTGCCTGGGCTGGGCCCGAATTTGGTATCCTTTCGCGTCAGCCTCGTAATGCTGGGCTTTATGTACTAGTGTGGAGCCAGGGAGTTTTAAGTTCAGTTTGATAAATTAAAAGAAATCTACATCCTTGTTTATGAAAGATCTTGGCTTTTTCTTGTATGTGTGTATGATAATCTGCTTTATAGACTGAGCTGAAAAATACTCCCTTTTTACTTTTTCAGAGGAAATTGTGTAGAATTGATGTCTTTCTTAAATCATTGTAGAATTAACTAGGGAAGTCGTCTGGGTCTGGAGTTTTCATCATAAGAAGGCTTTTTAACTTAAAATTCAATTGTTTTAACAGGTATAGATGATCTTTTTCTTTTTATGGTGCAAGCGATTAAATTCAGGACCTCATGCATGCTGAATATGTGTTCTATCACCTAGCTGCCCTCTCAGATCTAGATATTTTTCTTTTGAGTAAGCTGTGATAGTTTGCCATTAGGATTGTGTATGTACCAGTTCATAAGATGAATATATTATTACCTAAGGATCACTAAAAACATACACTAAAATAAATAAATAGAAAATAATGAATTAAAAAGAATTTATAGGGGCTGGTAAGATGGCTCAGTGGTCTAAAGCACCTACTTAGAGCAAGCTAAGCTAAGCAAAAGCACAGCGACCGC